CGTTGTCGGCGTCGCCATACTTGGCTAAGTCCCTGTAGACAGCCACCTGGCCGAAGGCGATGACTCTACTGACTTGCTTCTTAGGGTTGGAGAGGCCTGACTTGACATCCAGCAGATATCGTCCGGCGTCGACCTAGAGCCGTGTCAGTAAATAGGACAGTGAGTGAGAAAGGATACTGGGACTGACGGTGTGGATGCCAAAATCAAGGAAGATGCCGCCAGACTGCTCAGAAAAGGACACAAAAAAGGCTAATCAGAATGGTCAGTCCATCAGCCTATGCGAAAGAGACCGACTGGGGGCATTTAGGCCATACCATTGGGGTCTGTCTGATCGATACCAGTTGTCTCAACAGCGTGGATTTCACCCAGGTTTCCATTGTCGACCAGGGCCTTAGCCTGGCGGTAGGACTTGTCATCTGGCGTGAGTTAGTCTCTAAACTCTGCAAAGCGCCGGGCCTAGTGTTACTTACATCGGCGAGTGAATGGAACGAGGAACTTGAGGTCAGGCATAGAAGCAGACTTCTCGACCACTGCCTTGGTGGTAGCTATGTCCACAGAGACTGGCTTCTCGCACATGACGTGCAAGCCTAGATCAAGGGCCTGCAGGATCAAGGGCGCGTGAGTAGCCGTGGCGGTGCAGATGAGGACGGCCTCAGCGTCGCTGTTCTTCAAGCATTCTTGAGGGTCTGAAAAATACTTGACAGACGGGGGCAGATTCCCTACGGCCCATTTGTCAGTGCCTGGCTTTGTATCGCAGACGGCGACAAGTTCGATCCGAGGCTGCTGGAAGGCGAGGATGCGGGCTCGAAGGACTCCCAGGCGGCCGAGGCCGAAAAGCGCAAACTTGACACGGCGGTCCCCGTACGACATGGCTCAAGGTCTGTGGTGAGGTGAAGTTCTTGTATTCGACGACGCGGCGGCGGTCGTTGCGGTGTAGGCAATATAATGACGAGAGATTGTCTAGTCAAGCGGTAGATTGCGATTTTGCACCGTCTGAGATCCGGGCTATTTATTTACGTCTGGTCTCTGCTCTAGAGCAGATCCGTACTATCAGCCGGCGTAACCACAGGCTTCCCCGCATGTGAACACTATTCGAATTTGATACATCGTGTATCGTGCAGGAACCAACGGTTGACCAAGGGGCTTCTCGGTACTCTGCAAAACACGTCGCGTATAGAGACCGAATTCCTTCCGACCAGCGCCGACATTCGTGCAGTAGTATTAGAATTCCTCTAAACAGTAAGTCGCCGGCGAGAATTGCCTGATAGGGTCGGCGGGTATCGCGATATATCTCCACTTCTCCCCGTTCTTCCTGTATACCTTTTGGCTGAACCAGCACAGTGGCTGCGAAATTGCGGAGTCCAGAAAAAAAAAAATTCATAGGCCTGGAGACGGGATGGCATTTGCTGCATTGACACTCCTAGGTGGAGAGATTTTTTTCTTCTCCGCACTAGTAGTATCCACCCAGATGAAGGTCTCTCAATGTGGCGATTAATACTAGTTAGTCCCACAGTTATGCGATTGATTCATATCATTATATACAGTATGTGATATTGAGCTTTTTGATGATTTCTCATTCCTTATTCAGACCCCTCATACCCATGCCACCCCCACGCTTCCTTCAATTGCTCCCGCGTACTTAACGTGGCATACGCATGTTCATCCTGGAGCTTCAACAGCACCTCAAGTAAAGCCCCCTGCTCCAGTCGATCAGTGAACCGGTCACCGCACATTCCAATAGCGATAGAGGCTATTACCAACCCCGGAGGACTATGCTGGTTGGAAAAGGCAATTCCACATATCTGTAATACGATCGCGCGCACTTTTCTATCTACCGAGCGCATTGCCGTTCGTTGCCCAGTGCCAAGGCGAGGCAACCGGGGATTATAAACAGTGAGCAGGATCCGCGCAAGACCCAGAAATTGTAACCCGGCAATATGGCAGTTGTTCAGGTACCACAGCTCGGGAAAGACTTCTCCGCGCGACCGATCTGCTTCGCGTGCATACATGGGTTTGAAACTTGGCGGGCCTAGCTCGGCCCAGAACGTTTCGAACGCAACCAGTTCGTCGTACCGGGCTATTCGTCTTTCGCTGGCGAGGAGAGGGTGGATTATTCCTCTACTTGATGTGTGGAATTGGTGCTCGCCGGGGAGGTGTTGTTCTTCGGATCCGTAGCAATATTGTAGTACGTCAGCGCAGTGGATGACAAGCCGGTCGGCCCAGACATAGTCATCTGCGGGCTCAAAGGACCTGTAGGGCTCGCAGGGCCCAAGTGGGAGTCGGAAGGTTCGCTGTTTGCTGAATGCTGTAATTATCTCTTGTCGTAGGGCGATCCAATAGGCTGCATGTCGTAGTCCGTAGTCCGCTACAGCGGAGTCGGCTTGTGCGTCGAGGAATATTTGGATGCCGCGGAGTGCACTTTCAGTGTCTTGGCCACCGGAAGGAACTGAAATATAGAACAGAAAAAGAGAAGCGTTAGCCACAAATATGGAAAAAGTGGAGTCGTAGACTGGAATTTTGCGTTGACTCACCATCTACCTCCTCGTAGAAGCGAAGAATCACAGCTGCGGCTAGAAGATTTTCATCTTGGGCTTCGCGCGAGTGGTCCGATAGAGACACAAAATAGGCAATGCATTCATTATGATAGTGGATGGCAGTTTCTGGTGTTAGGTTGGGGAGGACTTTGCCTCCATAGTGAATCTGATTTCTAACATAGTATTTTTTGACCCGGCTCAAGTGTCTTGCCGAGGCAGTATAGATTGCATTAAGTAACGGGGGACATGCTTGCGCCCTTAAGGGAACAGTGCAGGCGAAGTATCTCTCTTTATCACATATATCAAACTGTTTATAGACAGTGGGCTGTCAGTGGGACTCTTCGGGTGTCAAGAAAAGAAAGAAAGAAGGAAGGAAGGAAGGAAGGAAGGGAAACGTGAGTACTGTACCCAAGGAGCGAGATGAACAACGAAATACCGCATGAGACATGCCTCATGCTCATTTGGATTAGGTAAGCTAGTCTCGATTGTATTAAGGAGATCATCGGACCCGAGAGATGCATGGCTGTTCCGGGAGAGACGAGGTGAGGCCGAAGATACCTGGGACGGGTTTTGAGGTGATAGCTGTAGTTGATATGGGGAGTAGCCGGCTAAAGCGCCGTCGGGTCGATGCGGCGGCAAGAAAGGGTCAGAAGTCTGCGACCCGACCGTATCGCTCAAGATAGATGACTCCGTCAGATCCCGTTGGTCAACTTCACTTTGGCGTCTTTCTGAGCCCGATGGCCTTGATGGACAACAGCCCAAGTTTACCGAGTAATGTCGGGCTACGTCGGCTGTCTCATCCACATACTTGTAATTCACTTCCCATAGTGGTCAGTTATGATAATCAGCAGAGCCATACCCCGATAGATGCATCGTTTAGGTAGGAATGATGACATGCTTCAACGGGTCTGGGCGGGCAAATTGAGAAGCACGAACCGTGGCCGATAGGTACCCAAGGCTGACCATCCGAGAATTCATATCGGGCATTGGCACTAGAGCCATGACGAAAGCCCAAGGTGAGAGCTTGCCGGACGCAAGAGGATCCGGTCCGTTCGCAGCGGCGGCATTTCGGCTTTTGCCCGTCACCTAGTCGGGTACTTCGGTCAGTCTCTTGCAGTCTGAAGACCTCTGAATGTACTCACACTTTGCATGTCGGTCTGCCATGATGTGATCAGTCAATATTTACCAATTCTAGATACGATATACTCACAACGACATTCCTGACTTGGCAATTAATCTGTTAACGAATGAGCGCACGACTGCAATGTTGGGAACTCACCAGGGAACGGCCCTGTTCGACAGCATGGTTCAGATAGATGTACCTACTAGTAGAGAATGGGAAGCATGAAGAACAATTGATGCATGGCGAGGAGAAATAAGGGTAAGCCGTCGCCGGCCATCTCCACCCCCGGAGTGCGGGGTTTGAAAACCTGGGGTCTCGATGGCCGATTCAGCGCATGTCCATTGGACCGCGCATCACGGACTTGGCCCGAGATACTTCGAGAACGGAAATGAGCAGCAAAGCTCCAGGTACAAAATGAATCAAGAAGATCGGACCCATATATTTTTGTAACTAAAGTTGGCTGCTGCGGGGAAAATATCTACATCGGTGAAAGGCCTGCTGGCTAACTCAGAGGTTGTAAGGGAGTATGACGATCATTTCCTATTATAATTATTATCGACGAGGCTAGCCAAATTTTTGTCCGGCATATCAGATATACCGTTTATTTACGAAGCCCATAAAAGCTTCCTTTCACGCAATCTCTTCGAAGCCAACAAAAAGCATCCCGTTTTACGAGTCGCTCTGAACTCGCTGTCTTACCCCGATCCCAACGCCGTCAAGGATATCTACGCTCACAATACAAGCTGCATCAAGGACCGTTTCTACTCCGAGATTGCAGGCACATACGCCCATCTTGCAGATGTCGTGAACAAAAAGGAACACGCCCGGAAGAGAAAGGTGCTGTCGAGCGCCTATGCGGTCAAGAACCTTGAAGAGTGGGAGTTCAAGGTGGCGGACGTCAGCGCAAAATTCATCAAGTTTTTGACAAGTGGTGCGCTGATCCACTACCTCCAGATGAGAACCCAAAGAAGGAAGATCTAATGGTTGATTATCGAAACTAGGTCCTGTGGACTGCAGCTGCGATCGCGAATATTTGACTCAGCGAAGATCTCGGTTTTCTTGATGAGGGATCCGACACAGTGAAGTCTGAGAGCAAGGATGGCACAGTTAAAGACGTCTCCTTCCATGAATGTCATACTGCTACACAGAGAGTATCCTACCAGTTGGTCTGGTCTTATGACTGGTTCAAGACCCTCCGCCGACTTAGCAAAGTGGTCTCGTCAAGCCATCGGCGTATGTGGCAGTTAGATGGGGATTGGGGCGGTATTGTTTAGAACCGTACGACTACTCGACTGAAACGACACGTGAATGGCGAGAAATTGGACAATTTCTTTACAGTTCTAATGGGAGACAAAAGCGGAACACCGCACAATCTAGGATGGGGCGAGATCGTCGCAGAGATTAACATTATGATGAATGCGGGACACGATACCACAGCTATTGTGCTTCGAAACGCTCTCTTTTTCCTACAGAGAAATTATAAATGCCTGGCCAAGCTTCGTGAGGAGCTTGACGAAGCTTTGGAAGAAGATGAAGTCATTGCACCATACGACAAAGTCAAACACCTGCCATATCTCCGGGCATGCATAGACGAGAGTCTTCGAATGCTCCCACCCGTTGTGTTTGGTTTGCCTCGCCGAACGCCCGTGGAATGTACTTTCATCCTCAACGAATATGTCCCTGGAGATGTCTCGGTCAGCATTTCGTCTTTTGTGGTGCATCACCAAGAGTCAGTTTTCAAGGACCATAATATCTATAAGCCGGAGCGGTGGTTGGGAGAGGAGGGCAAATCTCGCAGGCATACTTTATCCCCTTCAGTGCTGGGGCGCGAGGCTGCATTGGCCGGAACATTAGCTACCTAGAACAAACTGTCCTCATTGCTTCTTTGGTACACCGAATTGAGTTTGCGTTGCCGCATCCAGACTGGAATCCTCCAATCCGCGAGACGATAAATCTGAGTCCGGGTCCGATGCCATTGAAGCTTTGGAGGCGAGTGACTGCCTAGGGAATAGTTGGAGTCGTCAGCATCTAGACGCTGGGAATGGCTTTTGCCATTCCCCATCCTTCGTCTCCATCTCGTATCTCCCAACATTCGAATCATCAAAGATATTCTTGTACTAGTATATTGTTGTGAACGATCAAGCGTGAAACGCATAGAACAGTAGTCATCCCTCCTCTTTCAAGAAGTAGGTCTAAAGGGAAGTACAGTACATGTGAGCATTAATCAGAATTTATCCTCTCTACTCAGTGTAGTGTCTTGACCTTTTAGGTCAAGACTTTGGCTCAGTGAATACAATCTGGCTCATTGACATAAAGCCAGTACTGTCTGTCCTGGGGACTATGAGCTATTCAAGTAGGTAGGAAACATGACTCGTTAATGCTCGGCTACGTCGAGCCTTCTTTGAACGGTGTATTCTTTTGAATGAATTTACTTTTACTCATGGAAAGCGTACCCTCACTTGGCCACTAGATGGTATATAAATGAGTCCTTGCCGAGTTTAACATGGAGTGCCGCAAGGCCTTTGTGCCCATTTTGACTGTTAGACGTATCTTAATTCCTAGTAGAAAGGATCAGCTACCTGGTTGGAACTCCTGGTGGTTCTTAGATATCTCTTTCGCTCTATCACGATCTTGGTTTCCTTGGCAAAACAATCTGTCTATTGAAACGACCAGAGAGAGGAGACTCTGTTAGATTATATAAACTAATGATTCTGTCTCTATCGCCGAGCCTCATTGTTAGCGCCCGATGTCAATGAATCAGATGATGTACTAATGCTCAGTTCTATTGGTGGATTGTTACGCGTGTCAAAGTGCGTGGTAACTCCGTAGCAGGTAAACAAAGTATAATGACCAATCACGGGTGTCGTTAGGCACAGTTGCATTTCCAACCAGACTATTTGTTGGAAGGGACTTGACCATTCTAAGAGAGGGCGTTTACTTGAAATGTGGCGGTTGAGGATTGGAGGGGAACGAAGAAAATTAGACAATCTGTCGGTTCATTCTGGCCTAAAACTTGGTGCATGGGCTGCATATTCTACGTCTTGTCACAAAGAAAAGGATGTAGCCTCTCACCTTGTCTCGTCATTCGCAAAGATCTGCTAGATTCGTCTGACTGTCGAGTAATCCCCTTCGGCTTCTCGGTCCCTATCCTATAGCCGACTTATGACGCCTCCTCCGTCTGGTCAACTTAAAAAACGTTGAGGGACAGGCCATTGTTTCAAAACAGCCGCCCGCGAGGCAAAGACAGCCGCGTCTTCCCCCTTTGATAAGGTGCGACTGTCTAGGCAGCTTACATCCCTCTTCATGGCGCTATTGAAAGCTATCACTGATGAAAGGGCTTCTGTTCGCAACATTCCTCAATGTCAGCCAATAGGAACACATTGGAGGCGCAGTGTGAGTTTGGTGGGGAGTTACACAAAAAGGAGATATCTACTCCCAAGGCTGACAATATACAAGACATGGCCGTGGAAGTTTATCATCCCGGCGGTGATTGCTGTGTGGGTTCTACCTGGTTCATTCCACATTACCCCAAGTCTCCACAAGACAGACTTGCCGATTCTGGACTACAGAGACACATGTCTTGACTTTATTTCAGAGATATAAAAAGAGGCAGCCGGCCATACTCAATACCATAGTGGCATCAATTTACATCGCTGAATACCAACCTATCATACCTAAAATATGTCCTCTTCATCGCTCGAAAAGGACAAAGACTTAGTACCCGACAGCACCCGGATCGAAGTGACAAAAGCTTCATTGCATGATTCCATCGAGAATACTGACACGGGGTGGTACATCTGGCTCATCGTATTAACCGCCTCCATCGGTGGCATGCTATTCGGATACGACACCGGAATCATCTCAGCCGTCCTAGTCTACCTCGAAGATATTCTGGGTCATCTATTGTCAGCCAGTGAGAAGGAGATGATTACAGCGCCCTGCTCTGCCGGAGCATTTGTGGAGTCCATTATTGCAGGTCTGACAGCCGATCGATATGGACGCAAAGGGCCAATGTACATTGGGTGTGCTCCCTTCACGGTGGGAGCTGTCTTACAAGCCTCCGCATACTCTGTACCGCAAATAACAGTCGGCAGATTGATTGTTGGCTTTAGAGTTGGGTCCGCAGCAATGATTGTGCCAGCTTACATTGCTGAAATTGCACCGACCAAGCACCGAGGTCGAATGATCGGCTTGAACAATGTTAGCATCACCGGAGGCCAAGTCATCAGTTATGCTCTAGGCGCTGCTTTTGCGAGCTTTCTTAATGGATCGCGCTATATGGTTGGCCTGGGTGGTCTTCCTAGTATACTGCTAGCTATCTTGCTCCCGCTGTGCCCAGAGTCACCCCGTCAGTTGATTCACTACGACAAACATGAGGAAGCTCGAGCAGTTCTGCACCGCATCTTCAAAGCCGCTACTCCTGAGCAAGTGCAGAACAAAATCCACCTTATTGAAGCCAGTGTTCGAGACTTTCAGGCTTCTACTGGTGACCAGACTCGATTCTCTACATGAAACAACTCCAAACGAACCCAGCTTATTTCCGTGCTTTGGTGTGTGCCTCTACTCTGAGTAAGTTACTCTCTCTTCCTCTGAGGTACTCTGAAACTAATATTATTCAGTGACCATCAGCCAAATGTCCGGTTTCAATGTTCTGATGTATTACTCCAGAACACTCTTCGCACTAGTCGGCTTCTCCAACCCGGTCACAGTGGGTCTCGTTTTCTCCGGAACCAATCTACCAATGACCTTAGTCAACATGCTAGCCGTGGACTCCTTCGGCCGTCGACGACTCCTAGTAAGAACATCTTGGGGCATGTCGGCCAGCCTAGTCGCAGTTGCAGTCTCCTTTGCATACATCGCGGTGGACCTAGAGACGCTAGAAGTGACAACAAAATCCATCACAACAGCCGCCATCATTGTTCTAGTATTTATCATTTTCTTTGTGCTCTTCTACGGTTCTGTCTCTTGGCAACACGGCCTGGATTAGTGCAGACTTTTTCCCTATGGAAGTTCGGGCTGTCGGCACAATGTATATGACTTGCTGCTGCTAGCGCTCAAATCTCATTGTCTCCTCCACATCTGTCTATGATGAAGGCATCACACCATCCGGCGCTTTTAGCTTTTATGCATGTCTAACCTTTATTGGCTGGGTGATGATCATATTATTTTACCCTGAAATGTCGGGACTACAGATTGAAGAGATTCGCGAGGTTTTCAAGCTGGATTTGGCGTCAGGTATGGTTCGCGGTTGCGAAAGCAGCGTGCGGAGGATAGTCGCGCCCGCCCTAACTGAGATTGACTATTGAAGACAGTGATGCTGGGAACAAGAAACGTCTGTTGTCATGTTAAGTCAGACTTTTGGTCGCAACCTTGAAGACTACGTCAAGCTTATATATTTATGCTCACTTTCAGGGTCGACTTCAAGAAATAGCTTCTGCACCAACGAGTGGACCAATTTTAGTAGATGCATCTTATCTAAATATATATCTATGACTAGAAGATATTGCGCCCGAACGCGGGTATATAACTTTACCATTTTAGCTCCTCATTTAATTTGACCAGAGACGCCTCACATAGCTGTGTGGCTGAACTATTTTCAGAAGCTACGCCACGTTGAACCTCACAGACTTGTAACATATTATCTAGCTGGTGATCAGGGAGAGTGAAGAAAATGTGACGAAGGGTCTATGTATATTGAACAAAAAGCAGAAAAGGGCATGTAAATCACTATTGACCAAACTTAAGCCATATGCCAGTTAGTAGTTAGGTGGGTGACCACCAGGGAATCCAGGCTGCCGTATGTATTTGCTTGTCAATTTTTTGTTTTGTTTTTTTTTCTTGTTAATTTATTTTTTTGTGCTACCAGATAGGTTGCCTCCTGGGTGAGTGCACTATAAAGAGGGTGAGCCATCACCCAACATCAGTTTCTGTCCTACAATAGGATACTGGCTCGGCATGTTTCAGATTCAATTCTGCGCACATGGAATAAAAGCGGTAAAAGGGCAAATTTAGAAATATCTATACCTCTTCCGGTCGACTGCAAATTAAATCATGGCATGGTAATAAATCTCCCGGGAAATACAATCACCCTAGAAGTGGCAAAGACAAGAACTCGAACAAAATATCAGAGAAGACTATTGAGGTCCTTGCGAAGACACTCATCCACTATCTCATGGAAGTCAGGCTTGTACAACCACTCCAGCTCAAACGGAAGACGGAAGCCTTTCATAAGCTGGTTTAATGCACGATCTGACGGGCTAGGTGGGCTTCGAGATCTTGTACGAAGTAAAGCTTTAATTAATGAAGCTGTAGACGTAGTTCTTTCTCTATAGTAGGGGTCTCTGGGGTGAAATTCTGGCTTGATTCACTACCCCGGCTTGGGGGGGGGGGTTCGAAGCCGAATATTAACCTTTAAAATCACTCTCTCCGGTGAAAAGGGGACTAAACCGGCTACTCCGAAGCTATTTTTAATAGTCTCCGATTTAAAAGCTTTAATTCGTGCGAGGGGGTTAGATCTTGACATTTCCCATGGGCACCCTATAATCTTTGGCCCACCGTAAATGCCCATAGATCCCATGGGCCGGGCACCCGCCCTTGGTGCAGCCCATGGGAGTCCATGGGACTAAAGAAAATCCCCACGCTAGCATAACTAACCTAAAACGGATGGATAAGATGCTGAGTTATCATAATGTATTATGGCGGATTCCCTAGGTCGGCCGAGGTACAGGAGCTCGGGGGGGCCTACGTGTACCTTCTAAGTGAGGCCGAGCTATACTACCTCTATTGGTATTCCGGTGAACGGTGTGATAGGCAGTATGTGTTTCCGAGTGAAATCGAGTGAAATCGAGATGCTAACACATGCAGTTTATTAAACGTTGTGTATTAGTCTTTGGAGACACAGAAATATGAGATAAGAGAAGAGAATTAATGAAAGGATGCTGCTTGAAGATTCATCCTATCACCGGTCTAGAGCTTGCGCTTGACACTATAATCAGGTTAGTTATAAGGAATAGATGTGGCTTAGCGGTAAACATACCATCTGCCAATAAGCCCCCTTTCTGCGCAACAATTCATGATGCGTTCCGGACTCAAGAATGCTCGATCCCTGCCCAGACGCCCCTTCTCCGAAGACAAAAATTGCGTCGGCTTTCTGAATGGTTGCTAGTCTGTGCGCGACCGCAATGATAGTCATGTTTCGCTTGCTTGCTAATCTCTCCATAGCACCTTGTACAAGGCTTTCCGACTGAGAGTCCAAACTAGATGTAGCCTCATCGAGAAGGAGAAGTAGCGGTTTTCGGATCAGGGATCGCGCAATGCAAAGACGCTGTTTTTGCCCACCACTCAATGAGGCCTGAGCGTTGACGCCAAGTTCCGTCAAGAAGCCATCTGGCAGTGATACTATGAAGTCATAAATTTCGGCGTCCTTGCATGCTTGAATCATTTGGTCCTCGGTACTCGGGTTAATTGGGGCTTCCAGACCGAGAAGGAGATTCTCACGGATGGTGCCTTCGAAGAGTTTTGGCTCCTGGGCGACAAGCGACAAGGCACTTCTGTAAGAGGGCAGTTCAATGGAACGGATGTCTCGGCCGCCAAATAGAATGGTCCCCTTAGTGCAGTCATAGAAGCGCTCGAGTAGCGAGACAAGCGTAGATTTTCCACAGCCTGAAGGACCGACAAATGCTACGAATTGACCACTCTTAATGGAGAGATTTAGATCAACAAATGTCGGTACCTCGCGAGAAGGATATCGAAAAGAGATATCTTGAAGTTCAACAGAGGGACTGGGAGTGTACTCCGAAGAAGAGAGTGGCCCGACCGGAACATGCTCAAGCTGTCCCGCAGTAGGTAGTCGTGCAGCCAATATGCGATTGGCAGAAGCCTTAGCCTGGGCAATATTTGGACCAAAACTGAAAAATTGCCCAGCTGATTGGCCTCCTTGAATAATGGCAATATAGACGACGAAAAATGCAACTGGGTCATATTCGCGGGACGCGAGGAGCTGGCCGCCGTACCAAAAGGCGAGTGCCATGGCACATAGCTCAACACTGTCGGAAAACGCAAATACTAACGTTGCGTACCACGCCTTCCGGGTGGCCTTTTGCCGCTGTTCTTTCAGGAGCCTTGAGTATCTTTCCAAGATTGTATCTTCCATGGTCAGAGCAGTGACCGTTCTGAAGGCCCGAACCGCTTCCGTTGCGAACTTGGAACTATCGGCATAAACTTCGGCATTCAGGCTCTCGAATTTGATCTCATATCGAATTCGCATGAAGGCAGAGAGAAATAAGAATGGCAGGGCGGCAAAAAAGGTGACAGCCGCCAGCTTCCATCCAAAGGCGAAGGAGATTGCAACACACCCAATGACGTTGAAGATCGAGATGAGAGGAAAAACACCAGTGGGACCAAACATCTCCTGTAACTGCTTTGAATCAGTGGAGAGTCTGGAAATTACACTACCGGAGGAATTCTCCTCGCGGTCATAGTACGACACCGGTTTGGACAATAGGCTGGAGAAATAATCCACCCGAGCATTGGACACGACAAACTGAACAGTAAGCTTTGCTTTAAGTCTGTGGGAATATGTAGACTCACCATCGAGATCGAATTCGACGAAAATCCCAGCATAAAATAGAAGGTCGCCATGGCAAGGGCGAGGATGAAGAACATCAATGCCCAGAAGTTCGCAGCGTGCACGAGTTTCTCGCCAGTGAACTGGAAAACCTGCACAAGTCTGGCAAAAAGCCAACTTTGTAGGGAAAATCCGGCTATTGGACGCTGTTAGCTTATAACTAGAAATGTGCGGGAGAGCATTGTGAATACTTACAACCTGCCCCTACCGCCCCGATCAGCGTCAGTGCATATAAGAGCCAATGGCTACGATTTTCATAAACTAGCACCCCAAAGCTGTGGAAAAAGCCGAAGCCTCTTTCGGGCTCGGGACTATCCTGGCAATCTGGATCGTCGCCTTCTTTAGTGGTGTGAACTTGAGCCCTGACTTCTTCCTTCGCAGAAGGAATCGAATCCGGCACGTCGGCATCCATCAAATCTGTCAGTGGCTCTAGCTGCTGCGCATGAACCAAGCTATGGTATATCTCTTCCTTGAGCATCAACTCTTCGTGAGAACCTTCTTCACAATTCTGGCCGTCTTTCATGACGATGATCTTGTCGGCGCGGCGGACGGTGGACAAGCGATGAGCTATCATGATTGTAGTGCGATCTTTGGACACACGATCCAGGGCTGCTTGCACAATCCTTTCTCCTTGAATATCAATCGAGCTCGTCGCTTCATCGAGAATGAGAATTTGGGGTTGGCTGACGATACTCCGCGCGATGGCAATTCTTTGGCGCTGTCCGCCACTCAATGTGATTCCACCTTCGCCAACAACGGTCGAGTAACCCTAGAGATGGAAAATCAGATAAAATGGAAATAAAAATAATGGGCGAAGTGTAAAAGATACCGTGGGAAGGCGGTCGATAAATTCATCTGCAAAGGCTTGCTTGCAAGCTGCGGTGATGAGTTCCATCTTCACAGGTTCTGTATCATTCTCCCACTGCGACCCGATCAGACCAAAAGCGACATTGTTGTATATTGAATCATTGAACAAGAACGGCTCTTGCTGAACAAGTCCAATTTGGGATCGCCACCACTTCACATCCAAGTCATTGATGTTGTAATCTCCCACATGGATTTGACCCGAAGTGGCCTCTTCATCTTCCTCGGACTGAAGTTGATACCATCGCTCAATCATAGCGACAATAGTGCTTTTCCCCGAACCGGAGGGTCCGACCAGAGCCGTGGTTTTATTTCGCTCAAATCGTGCATGAAATCCCTTAAGCACGGTCATTTCTGGTCGTGTGGGATAGGCAAACGTCACGTCCTGAAACACGATATCAGCATGGCTGGATACCTCCGGCTCCCGAATTCCAGGTGGATCATCCCTTTTGGAATCAATGACACCGAAAAAGGCACCTGATGCACTTATGGCCTTCGAGATGGCCATCAATGGCCCCGCAATGCCTCCCAAAATAGTGACCACGAGGAGCACGGAAAAGAATACCCTAACAGATTGTCAGAAAACGGTATCACAAGTATTCAAAAGATGAGATAATCATACGTGATTACCGTGTTAATATTAGCAATGTGGCCTTCGCGATACAGCTTCAACCCAAACCAGAAGGCCAGGGCGAAGCTGACATACATGGCAAAGAAGAGCATTGAAAGGTGAATTCCACTGACTAAAGACATACGCAGGCCACGTTTTCGTGCTTCCTCCACCCACCGTGTATACCTTCTGAGGAGTGGTTGCTCAGCACCCAGGGCGAACACTGTCCGAATAGAGCCGAATACTTCTGCAGCGAGGGCCGCATGCTTCTCATCCGCTTTGTCCACACTCTGCTGGGCCTTCACCAAAAACGGCACTGTCAGGCTAAAGCCAAGGATCACAAATACAATGGCCGAACTGACAACAAGAGTCAGTGCCCAAGAATAACGGAATGCGATCGCATAAGCTGAAATGAGCAAGGCGAGTGACTGGAACAGAATGGCCAGTCGATCGGAAACACTTTGCTGGATCGTATTTGACAGCGCCGTAATCGCATGTGTGACAGTTCCGACTGACATCTCGTCCAGCTTGCTCATAGGAAGTGAAAAGAGAGCCTGGGTGTACTCCAGTCGCAGGGCGCCCGAAGCGCGGAGGCTAGTCAATCGAAAACAAAACTGTCTGGTGTGAATAATAAAACGGAGGTATAGAGGGTAGAAAATCATACCATAGATATGTAAGTCAGACAGAACTTTCCGATAAATAAATACACAATATACAAGCTAAAAGAGACGGTAAGTTCGCTGCCATCAGATGTGAAGTGTGATATTTACCTGTTTTGGTTGACGGAGGACTTGAATGATTGCTCTGTGATACCTGATCCCGGAATAAAGTACTCATTGAAGGTGCCGACGAGCTGGCCAAAGACAATGTTCATCAACGGAAGAGCCTGGGATTTCATTAGTTGATTTTGAGTACAGCTCGAAATTTTCCCTGACATACAATTCCCGAAGCCATGGCACAAACCAGTCCTAGAATCATAATGTAAATGCCCCCATGAGAGGCACCATATGATAGAATCCTCTGGAGATGTGAGCGATAGTAGACAAAGCCAGGTCCATCGATAGATTGGAACCTACTGCATAACTACTGAGACTTGCTGGTTTGGCTGCCTCGTCCTTTGACTTCGAACGAGCGACCATACCTTGACTTGTGACGGAGTTGTCATCTGGTGATGTTGGTGTGTGCGTTTCGGCACGATGCGGGGAAGTTGACGAAGGATGCATCTTTTACCCCATCAACACGACGTTTTGATGAAGGAATATACTTGGAAGGACTTCTGCACCATATCTTCCGGTTTTGCGTGTAAATGGAAAATCGAATATTCGTGGTAGCCTAGGAAGAAACCCGTGGGTCATCTGTCAGCAAGAAATCAGGGGGACGGGAAGACACGAACCGCTCAAGGCACGGACCCTGAGAGAAAAATGAGGCACCGAAGTCTCAAAATCATCACGATATTTCCGATATCTCATATTGGCCAAAATAGTATTATCAGTGGAGCGGTGATGTCAACCAAAGGTGGTTTTAAGGGTTTCGGATGTAACCCAAATTTTTATTTAGACGGTGATTCACGTGGATCTTCCCAAACTACCACTTTGGGAAATATATTTCGAAGATCATAGAACCCACTCAATCGATGATGCATATACATGGTGAATGCTTGGTATAACGCAGGAGAACAAGTGGAAATCGCCGGAAACGATCTCAACTTTAGATGTAGAGTTTACTCCGTACGTCAAGGAAGCTACCATGTTACATTGACAACGTCCGTATACCTTTGGATCAGGGCGCATAATGTCTATCCCGGGCCTCTATGGAGCCATATTGTGATTTTCATTCGAGGGTGTGGCCATAGGTAATACGGACATCGCCGATATTCTCGTATAAGGTTCATTTCGATTCGCCTCCTGCCAGGAACTCTCTATTATTAACTCCCTATTCTATTCTTGTATCAGGTACAATGCCGACGAGATTGCTCGTGAGTTGAATAAAACAGGAACCACACAAGACAGCTACAATTGAGTGACACACGTATGTCAATATGGACCTCAATGATATGGTACATTTGCTAATCGAATGGACAGAAAAAGGAATTTGAGATCATGGTACCAAAGCACCCCGAACATGGTATGAGGCCATCAACAGACTTCCCTGCTACAGGGGCCATCACCCCACCGGGAGATTCGGTGGAGGAAGCACTGGTCTCGTCCAACAAGGAACCCCTTCCTCCATCTCCGTCGACTGAGAAGGAGAATGAGATAGACGGAATTTGGCAACAAGTGGCGGATCAATGCCATTGCTCCCTGGAAGCGATTGAAGATGTATATGCCTGCACCGCCCTCCAGGAAGCAATGATAGCCCTCACTTTCAAGGACCCAAGAGCATACACCATCGAACACGAATACCGTCTGCCACGAGAGATTGACCACCATAAGCTCCAAGAGGCCTGGATTACGACGGCCCAAGCCAACCCGATTTTGAGGACTCGTATGATACCGACTAGTCAGCGCGGATGTGTGCAGGCAGTGGTGCGAGGATCAATCCCATGGCAGGTGCAGGAGACCGACGACGGCATAAATGGTGAAATCACTAGCCCTTCCTGGCGAGCAGGGGCTCCGCTGGCGTATTTCTTCTTCAATGTCACCGAACATAAGCTGAAAGTGACAATCCATCATTCCATCTGTGACCACTGGTCTATGGCATTGTTGCTGCGCCAAGCCGACGCCGCCTATAGAGGCGAGGAACTGTCTTTCCACCCCTTTCGGCCGCTGGTGGATCATGTACAGCGGACCCAAGACAAAGCCAATGATTTCTGGGAATCCATGTTCCGTGATGCACATAAGGCCACGATGAGGGCATTTCCTCAACTACCCACAGTGGGTCATGCTGCCAGACCAACCGAGAGGCTAGAGAGGTCCTTTAACATCCAATCTGGCAATAGTTCTTCAAGCACAGTCGGCACCAAGGTTCGGTTGGCTTGGGCGATTCTGCAATCGGTTTATACTGGCTCCGACGATACATTATTCGGAGCAGTAAACGCGGGCCGCGCAGTGTCCGTTGAGGGAGTCCAGGACTTGAGCGGACCTGCACTCGCTAGCGTACCGGTACGCATCAAACTGTGCGGGCAGAGTACCGTGGCAGATACCTTGGTTGCGGTACAGGACGAATGGGCTGCATCTATGGAGTTCGAACATGTTGGACTGCAAAATCTGCTTCGCCTTGGACCTGGCCCAGCGGCAGCGTGTCATTTCCAGACCCTGCTCTCGATCGAGCCTCGAGATGGCCATCAACTTCCCGAGATATTCTCCCAGAGTCAATCGACCCAATTGACATATGATATGTATCCCTTGATCCTACGATGTCGCCCCTCGACCATGACAATGTGGATTGAGGCTTCTTTTGACCCGGCAGTAACCGAGTCCATTCAAATGGAGCGAATTCTCTCCCAATTCATCCATATCTACGAGCAGATCGACACTAAATCAGGCCTCACACTTTCTGAGATCAGTCTTGTGAGCCCCGAAGATTTGAGCGATCTCCGACGTCAGAACATTTTGACAAAGCGCGCTGATGCCATGTCGTGTGTTCATTCTCTAATTGAAAGACGCACACGGCAGCAGCCTCTTGCCCCGGCTATCAGTAGCTGGGATGGCAGTTATTCATACCTAGCCCTTGATGAATTGTCTTCAGAATTGGCTGGTCATCTTTCTTGGCATGGTGTTGGCCCTGGGTCATTTGTACCTCTTCTCTTGGGAAAGACTAAGTGGATGGCTGTCGCCATGCTTGCTGTGATGAAAGCTGGTGCTGCTTTTGTGCTGCTAGAGCCGTCACACCCACAATCCCGATTACAGAATATGTGTGAAGCTATTGCGGCTCCCCTGGCATTGACTTGCGGCTGGCATATTGACCTGGCGGCCAAGCTTGGGGTCCAAGCATTGCTCAACGTGGAAACCTTTGATTCGGATCAGCTGCGTTGCAATAGCTCATCTCAGAAGCCCTCGGTAAGCCCACAGGATCCCGTCTATCTGACATTTACCTCTGGATCCACGGGAACCCCGAAAGGTGTAATTGTTCATCACGAAGGCTTTGCGTCAAGCTCTGTGGCTCATGGCCAGCCATACCACATCACACCGGAGTCGCGTGTGCTACAATTTGCCTCTCCGGCATTTGATTCTTGTATTATCGAACATCTCAGTACGCTGATCCAGGGAGGCTGTGTTTGCATTCCGTCAACGGACGACTGCCACAGTCATCTTGCGGAAGCTATGAACCGCTTTGCTGTGGATGTTGCGTGTCTGACCCCCAGCGTCACCCGGATCATTAGTCCCGACAGTGTTCAGTCCTTGAAGGTTTTGATGTTTGTCGGAGAGGCAGTTCTGGCTAGCGACGTTGTCCGCTGGGAGCCTTTTGTACATGTTGGAAATGCGTACGGGCCAGCGGAGTGCTCAGCAGTGTTCAGCGTGCAACCAAATCTCAAGAGCAATGATCCAGCGAACATAGGATTTAGCACAGGAGGATCTGGGTGGGTCGTCCACCCTGAAGATCATCGGGTGCTCATGCCACTGGGATGCACTGGAGAACTATTAATAGAAGGACCAATCGTTGGCAAGGGTTATCTATCGAATCCCCAGCAGACGGCTCGGTCTTTGTTGAAGCACCCCCCTGGCGCCTGCAACTTGGCTCCCCTCCATCCGGGAAATTATATAAAAGCGGAGACTTGGTGCAGGCTACTGGGGATGGTAGTTTCCGATACTTCGGACGGAAGGATACTCAGGTCAAGCTACACGGACAACGCTTAGAACTGGCGGACATTGAATATCATCTTCACAAAGCATTTCCGAAAGCCCGCCAAACCCTTGCAGACGTTCTTCGTTCATCTCCTAAAGACAGCATGAACGATCATCGACCAGAGGCTTTGCTGATAGCGCTTATATGTCTCCCTGCGTCTCCGGATGACGACGGCAATCATCAAGCACAATTTCTTCCTCCAACCGACGAGTTTCGTGAAGCTTGTGCTGCAGCAGAGGCCAGCATGTCGGATGTTCTACCATCTTTCATGATTCCAAGGTTTTACCTACCATTATCCCATGTACCTCTGACGCCATCTGGGAAGACCAATCGACGTTCTATCCAGGAGCAGGCCAATAAGCTGTCATTGGAGCAGATGAAGGGTTATCGAGCGGTGAAAATGCAACCGGAGGCGCCGTCAACTTCTCGCGAGGAAAAGCTTCAAGAGATCTGGGCCAAGACACTAAATCGAACTGTTGAAGAAATCGGAACCACTGAGAGCTTCTTTCGTCTGGGAGGGGATTCAGTCAGCGCGATGCAGGTCGCTGCAGGCTGCCGTACCGTCGGACTCAAAGTAGCTGTTGCGGATATCTTCCGGTTTCCAAGCATCAGGCAACTGGCGGAAAAGATCCAAGATTCCGGATCCGTCTCTTTTGCCTCAGCCGGGGAAGACGACCAAACGGAGGTGTGGTTTGAACTTTCTCCAATACAGAAACTCTTCTTTGAGCGGGTACCCAATGGTCACAACAAATTTACTCTCGAGTTCATTCTCCGACTCGGCAAACCCCTTCCCGCTCCTGAGATTAAACGAGCGATGGAGAAGATTGTCGCCACTCATTCTATGCTCCGCGCCCGTTTTGAACAACGAGCAGATGGTCAATGGGGACAAATTATTGGTCCTGATGTGGCTAGGAGTCTTCGATTTAGAGAGCATCGGGTACCGTCTATGAATGATCGTAAAGCTTTGCAGAGGATTTTGTCAATCAGCCAGAGCACGCTTGATATCGTGCAGGGAGTGATAATTGTTGTTGACGTTATCACCACAGACACTGGGGAGCAGTTTTTGGGGTTGATGGCCCATCATCTTGTCATTGACCTAGTGTCATGGCGCGTCCTTCTGCAAGACCTGGAAGATATCCTCAGCACGGGCCGTACAATCCAGCCTCCCTCCATATCATTCCAACAATGGTCCCGGCTGCAACAAAGCTATACCAGCGTGTCTCTTCATCCCGGCGAAACATTGAAGGCAGAAATTCCACGTCCCCCAATGGACTACTGGGGTTCAGAGGCTATCATGAGTGCGAACACTTGGGCGGATGCGACGCGACGAACCATCACAGTATCGCAGCAAACAACAGAGGCAATAGTTGGTGCTGCAAATGGCGCATTTCACACTCAGCCAGTGGAAATCATTCAGGCAGCCGTACTTTACGCCTTTGTTCAGGCCTTTGACAATCGACCTGCACCCACCATGTTCAGCGAAGGACATGGGAGAGAGCCATGGGACCCGGAGATCGATATATCCCGCACAGTTGGGTGGTTCACCACTATTGCACCTTTGTCTTTGGATGTATGTAAAGAGGACAATGTCAGGAGGATCTTGCAGCTCACAAAAGACGGCCGCCGCAGCATATCCACCAACGGATGGGCATACTTTGCGTCACGATTCCTCCACCCCGAGGGACCGGAAAAGTTCCAGAGTCATTCCCCAATGGAGATTCTTTTCAACTACACCGGTCTTTTCCAACAATTTGAACGGCCAGGTGCCCTCCTTCAAATGACATCGGTCCAAGATGATTCCCTTCTCCCCATGGCAGCTGACTTGCCGCGCATGGCTCTCATTGATGTGAACGCAACCGTCATGAACGGCTCCCTCAACTTGTCCTTCATCTACAACAAACGATTACAGCATCAGGACCGACTTGAGCAATGGACCAGCAATTGCCTACAGACCCTTGAGAAACTACCCATGGAGCTGCAGCAGGAACAGCGACTAGCCGCTGTCGACTTTCCATTGCTATCTCTTGCAAGCGAGGACCACCTTCACAGCTTACTCCATCAGGTCTCAGGTCGATTCGATGTGTCTCCGTCTGGAATAGAGGATATGTTCCCTTGCTCACCCGTTCAACTCGGCATGTGGTTGAGCCAGTTAAGAAACCCTCAAGTATACTGGTCGCATATCCGGTGGTCTCTGTCCCCAACGTCCCCCAACTGCCCAATCGATATCACTGAGGTGAAGCAAGCATGGCAGCAGGTTGTTGACCGTCAACCAATCTTGCGCACTGTCTTCACCGATGGCGTCAAAGGGCACGGTCATCCTGTCCAAGTAGTTCTGAGATCTTGCGAGGCAAACATCAAGGTGTTGTCGGGATCGGAATTGCGTGCGGAGGGCCAAGTTCCGTCCCTTTCGGATGAGTTCCTGTTGAATCCAAAATCCTCAAACGCGAAGGGTCGCCCACCACATCAGCTTACCGTCGCAATTGAGCCTCATGGTGGAGCTTACTGCCAGCTGGCTATCCACCACATTCTTGTTGACGGTATCACGGAGCAAAGATTATTGTCGGAGTTCCACCAAGCATGCAATGGGGCACTAGACACCGAGCCTGCGGGCAGCTATAGCAGGTACCTGGGTTATCTGCAAACTCGGGACCATAGGGCCTCGGAAGCTTATTGGAAGGAATACTTGACTGATGTTCATCCATGTGTTTTCCCGTCGCTTGGATTGAAAGAGCACGGGACCGACTCGAGCTCTCTAAAGTCCTTACCATTCTCCATGGATATCGGACAAGAACTCCGCTCATTCTGCCAGCGTCATAGCATCACCATTTCTAGTCTCCTACAAGTCGCTTGGGGTATCGTTCTTCGTGTATACACAGGCAGCGAGTCTGTATGCTTCGGGTATCTGAATGCTTGCCGTGATATTCCGGTGCAAGATGCGCACAATATCTCCGGACCTTTGATCAATCTTCTGGTTTGTCGCCTATCTTTAGCTGATGAATCATCTGTCATGTCAGTGCTTGCCGAAAATCATGCAGTCTACGCCCGAAGCCTTGATCACCAACATTGCTCTTTGGCAGAGGTCATGCATTCTTTGAATCGCTCCGGTCAACCTTTGTTCAATACCGCGATGACATTACAAAAGGATGCCGGCAATCTGTTTTCTGAGAAGTCTGAAAGGATCAAGTTGCAACCGGAAGACGGAATTGACTCAACTGAGGTATGTGCGAATAGTGTCTGAGATGCTTTTAACCCAACAAAATTCATCCAGAACAGAGAAGCAATCACTTACCAAAGCACAGTATGACCTGACCATCAATATCACTTCGCGTAAAGAGACCATCGACTGTGACTTGACATACTGGACGCACGCTGTGGCTGAAGCTCAGGCTGAACTGGTGGCTGACACCTTTTCTCACATCGTCCTGCAGCTTATTGATCCCGCGATCATAAATCTAAGCGACGTCAATCTATCAATGGGAAAGAATGAGCTCCAGATGCTTCGTTTCAATTATAAGCTGCCGCAAACTGTGCGATCTTGTATTCACACAGACATACAACGAATGACGACAGCGCAACCCGCATCCCCTGCAGTCGATGCCTGGGATGGTCAATTCACATATGAGACTCTCAACCTTCTCTCATCTCTATTGGCTAACGACCTGGTCCACCTTGGTGTCGGTCCCGAGGTATTTGTGCCAATATGCCGCGAAAGATCCGGATGGACAGTTGTCGCCATGATTGCCATTATGAAGGCAGGTGGCGCATTCATCTTGCTTGACCCATCGCATCCAGCAGAGAGACTGCAAGAGATGGTGCAAGTGGACTTCCAGTGTCCAGTTATCATTACCTCATCGAAGCACCGCGAACTTGCAGCCAATCTAGCGCCGAACCCCATAATCGTGGAGAACCTCAGCCAAATATCGCATTCGGGCATTCGAAAAGACGGTATCCCATCGGTGACTAGTCCAAAGTCCGCCGCATACGCTGTTTTCACGTCTGGCTCGACCGGTAGGCCAAAGGCAAGCGTCATCGAGCACCAGTCTTTCCTATCGGCGTCAGCCGAGCATACCCAGGTACTTGGTCTTGACAAGAACGCCCGAGCCATCCAATTTGCCTCTTACGCTTTTGACGCTAGCATTGTGGAAATGATCGACACACTTTTGGTCGGTGGCTGTATCTGCATTCCCTCCGATGTAGACCGAAATCAGAGACTGGGTCATGCAATCCGCGAGATGAAAGTAAACTGGGCGCTGCTGACCCCTTCTGTGGCACGCATCATAAACCCGCAGCATGTTTCGACCTTGGAAACACTTGTACTCGGCGGAGAGGGCATGACTAGGGACGATATCCGTCGCTGGTCACCGCATGTATGCTTAATGAATGCCTACGGTCCTTCAGAGTGCTCTGTGATTGCCGCGGCCCAGCCATCATCGCAGTACCTCTCACAAGATGAATCAAATATTGGACATCCTGCAGGTTGTGTCGCATGGGTGGCGCATCCAAACAGACCGGAGAAGCTCTTACCTGTGGGTGCTGTGGGAGAACTGCTCATCGATGGTCCTATTGTCGGTCGCGGTTACGTTAATCGCGCAGAAGCAATGGCAGCGGCATTCGTTCCATATTCCACTTGGTTATGCAAGATCCGTGGTTCCCGAAAAGGCGTCTTGTACCGAACGGGTGACCTTGTGAGACGTCTTGTGGATGGCTCTATACAATACATCGGACGGAAAGACCGTCAGGTCAAGTTGCGTGGGCAGCGTATCGAGCTTGCTGAAGTTGAGCACCACGTTCAACAGTGCTTCCCTATCAATGACCCTGAAGTCTTTGCGGACTTGGTCTCACCAGGAGATGCCAAAGAGGCACACTTGGTGGCCTCCATTATCCAACCAGCAGACAGTTGCGATTCTCAGGACTTCGAGGCGGCCGTGGAGCAAATGCAAGCACGTCTTCAGGCAGATGTTCCAGCTTCCCTTATTCCCTCTGCATTTATTCCTGTCTATCAGGTACCACGACTGGTGAATGGAAAGATTGACCGAACACAACTGCGCCATGCAGCATCTCAAGCGCTACGAGCACAGATTGGTCAACAGGCGACAAACTGCCGGCTGCGACAGCTAAGACAAATGACGAAAGGAGAAATTGCGTTGCGAAATTGCTGGGCTGAAGTCCTGGCTCGCCCTGCGGAGACAGTCGGGCCTGACGATAACTTCTTCCGCTTAGGTGGAGACTCGATTGCAGCAATGAAGCTGGCTGCCGCAGCTAGCGAGCAAGGCATTCAACTAGGCGTCTCGGATATTTTCCTGCATCCCAAGCTTAGCGACCTCGCACTGAATTGCTCACTTGCGGGGCCGAAGGAATGGCCAAACTCCGAACCAAATGAGTTGGATGACGCCGTGCCCCCGTTTTCAATGCTCTCGCCAAATCACCGGGAAGAATTAAAATTACAGGCAATGGAACAATGCAACCTCCCGAGAGAGCAAATCGCGGACATATACCCCTGTACCGCACTGCAAGCCGGTATGGTAGCTTTGACGGCGGAGCGTCCCGGGTCATATATCGCATACCATCGTTTCCGTCTAGGGACAGACGTTGATCTGTCCTTATTGAAGACTGCTTGGGAGACGGTAGCAGAACACAATGCGATTCTGCGCACCCGATTCATTTATTCGGAGTTTGGCTTCATGCAGGTCCTGGTACAGAACAGCGAGCTTCACTGGATCTCGGGGAACATGAAGGCAGAGAAGAAGTTACAATGGAACGTTCTTCTAGGCCAGCCACTAGTACAGTTCGAAGTCATTCCGGTGCCGAGCGAGGATTCCAGTATATCTCAGCAACTGGACCTGATTATCACCATTCATCATGCTCTGTATGACTCTTGGTCACTGCCTCTGCTTGTGCACCGCGCACAAGCGGCCTACCAGGGCCAGGCATTGGAGCCCTCCGACATGACTCCATTCAAAGAATTCATCAAATATTCCATGTCGCAACAAAAGGACGCGGTCGAACACTGGCGCCGTGAATTCCACGAACTTACCGCCGAGCCATTCCCCACACTTCCTTCCACATCATATCGACCTCAGGCGTCGAAACAGACGGTACGGACGATTGAGACCGGCCCAGTGATGGATGAACGTGTCAGTCGAACTACCGTCATTCGTTTCGCATGGGCCCTTGTTCAGTCTCATTACCAGAGTAATGACGATGTGGTATTTGGCATTGTGTCCCCTGGCCGAGCGGCATCCGTCAGTGGTATTGAGGGCATGGCTGGTCCAACAATTGCCACACTTCCTTTGCGTGTGCAGATCGACGATAGTGCGACCGTCTCAGACGCCCTCAGAAATTTGCAAGAGCGGACAATACAGCTCATTCCATTCGAACAAGTTGGGCTACCTGAAATTGCTGCCATAGGACCGGAAGCCAGGCAGGCTTGTTCATTCCAAACCCTCCTTGTCGAGGGGAGAGGAGAGGTCGAAAACTTGGGTACCGCCAATGGTCCTATGGAAGCCATGGGAACATCATCGGGGGATGCTGCGTCAAACACATACGCCATCCAAATAGCTGTTATGCTCAAGCCAAATATGATGACTATTGCAGTTTCCACTGATGAGACTGTCATTCCAGCATGGCAAGTGGAACATATTCTGGACCAATTCAGCCACATTTTGCAGCAGGTGCACCGTCATCCAGTAAAGCTGGTGCACGAAATTGCTACACTGAATGACAACGATATCCAGCAGCTGCGAGCCTGGAACGTCGGATGTCCGGCACGATGTCCAGTGTCGATCACTGATGTGATTTCGCAGCATTGTGAGAGGCAACCATTGAGTTTAGCCGTGTCGTCTTCGAACTTCAGTCTATCCTATAAAGAACTAGACGTTCTTTCTACCAGCATCGCCAGCCTTTTGCGTTTGCAAGGAGCATCATCAGAGGTCTTCGTTCCAATATACTTGGATCGGTCATGCTGGACTGTGGTAGCGGTGTTGGCCGTGCTCAAGGCAGGCGCAGCCTTCGTCCTTCTAGACACCTCACATCCACAAGAGCGGCTTCGGAATATCTGCGAACAAGTGAAGCCTCCTTTCATTCTTACATCGCCCGAGCATCGTCATAGAGCCGAGGCGCTGTTCCACAATGTCTTGATAATGCCCCAGAGCATCAACTCCGAGTGTGCATCGACACCAGGTCATAAGACGGCCCGTTTGGGCGTAGACCGTGCTCTTTATGCAGTCTTCACGTCTGGTTCAACCGGTGAACCCAAAGGAGTTGTGATTGAGAATGGTTCATTCATGACAATGATCAATAAAGTTTCTCATTTGATGGGTATTGGCCCAGGTGCCCGCGTCTTGAACTTCTCCTCCTATGCTTTCGACGTCAGCATTACGGAAATACTTGGTTCATTGCTTGCGGGTGCTTGCATCTGCGTTCTGACGGAGTCTGAGCGCAGAGGCCGACTAATTGAGGCCATGCAATGGCTACAACCATCTCATGCCTATTTAACCCCCAGTGTGTCGCGCGCAATAATACCAAACGATGTGGGGTCACTCCGGACGATCATGCTCACTGGAGAAGCCCTTCGGTCAAGCGACATTAAGCAGTGGGTGCCACATGCACATATAGTATCCGGTTACGGTCCAGCAGAATGCACGGTCACGTTTACTGTGCAGTCCGCAATTGACTCGACCTCGCAAGGCGGGAATATCGGTTTCCCGATTGCAGGCGCCTGTTGGGTGACCGACCCACGGAATCCTAACCGAGTTGCTCCTATTGGTGCTGTGGGCGAGCTGCTTCTTCAAGGGCCTCTGGTGGGTCGCGGATATTTGAACAGTCCGGACCAAACAGCTATAAACTTCATATCATCTCCAACATGGATGCGACGTGTTGGCCTCACTGGTGGGCGGGTCTATCGAACAGGCGATCTTGTTCGTTATGAGAAGGACGGATCTCTCTCGTTTGTAGGACGAAGGGACCTCCAGGTCAAGCTACGAGGTCAACGTTTTGAGCTTGCAGAAGTTGAGAAGCAACTGCAGGATATCTGGCCCGAAGATCTGACAGACATCGTGGCTGAGATTGTGACTCCGAAGGCTTCCATGAGTTCAAAATGCTTGGTTGTCTTTGTCGCTCCAAAAGCGGCTGAGTCGGCTGCACTGGTATCCAGCCCAGCAATCCCTTCCCTGGAAATTGTTGCCACGACCAACTTTGCCGCCCGGATATCAACCGTCAAACGCCAACTCGGTGATATCTTGCCAGATTATATGGTACCGTCTGCATTCGTGCCGCTTCGACGGATACCTCATAGCGCCAGTGGCAAAGTAGACCGAAAGTGGTTGAGAGACTCGGCGGCGAGCGCCACGCGAGTGCAGCTGGAGTCATTATTCGCTGAAGCCCCTTCAGATAAGCGAGTGCCCGCCGTAGGGACGGAGCGGGAATTGCAGCACATCTGGGCGAAAGTACTCGATATTGCCGCCGACAAGATTGGCGGTGAGGACAGCTTCTTCCAATTGGGGGGTGATTCCATCTCAGCTCTCAAAGCCGCATCGAGGGCTCGGGCAGCTGGGATTCAGCATTCAGTGGAGAGTTTGTTCCAGTGGAAAACAATAATGCGTGTTGCCGAACACGCTACCATTGTGAACTCCGCCGACATCATAGATGGGGTACAGACTGCAACTTCCTTGCGGTACCATATACCCTACTCCCTGATTACGGTTCACGAGCGTGCAGAACTCTTTGCTTCGCACTCCACACCGGGACATGCGTTGGCGAAAGAGAATGTGGAGGATATTATCCCGGCACTCCCATTCCAAGTGTTCTACATAACCCACGCATCGCCAGTCTGGATGGCACAAGTATTCCCAGCGGCCCTGGACATCAATAGACTGGAAAGCATGTGCAGGCAGGTTGTTGCGCACCACAGCATCTTACGCACAGTATTTGTGGAGGCCAATGGCCGGTTCTTCCAGGTGATTCTCCGGGAAGTTGAGCCCGTGCTGAATGTTGTTCACTGTGATGATCCAGAGGCATATGTTGCGCGAGAGTCCGAACGTAAGGTTCCACCTTGTACGGCACAGGGTAAAATGCCCGTCAGCTTCACTCTCGTCACTAGCCGCATCAAACAGGTCTCTGCATTAATCGTTCAGATATCCCACGCGCAGTATGATGGGGCCTCCATACCGTTGCTGTGGAAGACAATCAAAAAAGCCTATCATAACGAGCCTCTCACACCGGCTATACAATTCAAGGATGTCGCCTATAAGCGAATGGGCGATCTGAACAAGGCCGAGATTTCATTCTGGCGAAGATACCTTGAAGGTGCTCCGTCCGCTGCTCTTGATCCCCTTAATCAAACTGGAAAGACACGAGTTTTGGAAAATGACATAGTCGAAAAGCGCCAAACGGAAATGCCCTCTCTCCCGCCTGACATGACCGTGTCAACACTCGTGAAAGCAGCCTTCTCATGGTTTCTGTTTGAGAAAACTGCACAGTCTGATATTATCTTAGGTCAGGTTGTTCACGGACGTGGAAGTTCGTTTTTGGACGCGAATACAGCCATTGGGCCCTGCTTGAATCATCTGCCCGTTCGAATCAGGATTGAACCTGATTCAACGGTGGAAAATTTCTTGCATCATGTTCAGGCACAGCAGGTAGAAATCACTGCCCATGACGAGGCATCGTTCGACGCCATCGCAGAATGTTGCACAGGATGGCAACCTGGCTCGAAAATGGCTTGTCTTGTTCATCACCAGAGCGAAGAAGCCGCGGAACCCTTCGAAATGGGTGGTGTTCGCTCGTCGTCTAGTTGCAATTGGGCTAGCTCCAAGTTGGAGCACGGTCAGCTGGGTATCATTTCCGTGGAACGCGGATCCCAGCTTGAGCTCATGGTCACAGCCACTGAGGATACCATGGACCAACGTAGCGTTCAGGTCCTGTTAGAGAAGCTGGTTACCACCGTTCAGTTGTTCTCGAAGTTTACCCAGTCCCAGTTGGCAAGGGTGGCTAGCAGGATCTCCACATGAAGACTTGTCTTGCCTTGAGCAGCATGTTGTGAATTCGTATACGGGTGGAGGAATGTGGAAAAACTGTGATGGTGATAGGGCATGACACTAACCCCAAATAAGAAGGAATGTGGGGTGTCGGCCGCCTCGGGCAGAATCATGTTGACAGGTCCTTTGTGAGATAGTGAGTCGATGGACAGATGGACAAGGCCAGTCAAGAGTGTATGTTATCAGTTTGTCAAACAACTTGTCTGTCTTTTTGCATGCAGGTCAAATTTGGAGATACTTATAAAGGTGATATCATCTTCGCATGAAATATATAACTACATAGTTCGTTGTTGTAGCCTGCCCAGCAAGGCGGCTCTAATCGGTCGAGCCTAGCCAAGCCCGTGACAGTAGGCGAGACCTGGCGGCTGACTAACCCTCACTTATGTCCGACCTCGGGAAGGCCTACCTAGATAGGTAGGTGACGCATCGCAAGCTGACTCCGACGTATTTACCAAAGGCACAGGCCCCAAAATACATCGGACAGAGCTGTATCTTGGCTTAGTGCCCGCGATGTATGATGAATCGCCAATCACTATCCCGAGCCTCTCTGGCCTGTTGGCCATGCTGGACTCAGCGTCTCAAATGCGACGCCGCACTCCCTGTATGTGGACGATGTCAAACGCTGGTGAACACATGCTCATACCCCGAGTCACGAGGTAGCGGTAGACTCAGGCCCGCACAGGCTAGGACAAAGCAGCATACAACATCATGCCTTGCCTCTCATGTGCCAACACCGTCCGATACACGCGCATCCGTGCTGGGAAGAGAAGAACTCGTCAATCGTCAATCTTCACCTCATTCCGGGGATCACTCGCTTCAAGCGTCGAAGTCGAGAACAGCATGGGCGCAGACAACACTCTATTGGGCTTATACTACGAATACTTTCATCCCAGCCCTCCATTTGTCCTTTGCGGCCCAATCTTGAAGCGAAGCTAGCGTCAGATTCCAGCCTACGGGCACTGCTCTTTAAAAGAGACAGGCTCAAATTTCGATATTCTTAACCGACCGCTACCTAACCTGCTTTCTCTCTTCGAATATAAGAGAGACAAAAACATACAACAGTCAGGATTCGCTGGTGGTCACCCACCCAACTACTAACTCACCGGCGTGTGGCTTAAGTACGGCTGAGCGGACGGGAAGCCCTGTTTTCCACACCCTATGGTCGTATGTACCAGGTTACGGATGCGAGAGGTTTATAGAATGCAATTATTATGTGGTGTCGTGAGGAGGGTGAGTGTACTATAGATGAAGGTGAGCCATATCCCCTATGTGTACTAGACTTGTTTATTCTGGACTATAAGAGATTTTGGTGATGGACAGATTGTTTGGCAGGTATGTATCCACAATCACTTACAAGCTGTGTTTACGCAAATCATCCATTAATCACCAATCATCTAAAATTACACCCATTGGGGCTTATACCCCATGGACTTAAAATCCAAAAGGGGCCGGGGGGCATCCGGACCGGAGGTGAATTCGGATCCGATGATCACCCTCTTGTAGACTATCCAGAGGAGAGTCTCCAGTAGCAGTCGTATAATATAAAATATCCAAGGCCTTCACAATAATCAATCGATCAGTCAGTCTATCGATCAATCAACAGCAAGCAAAATCAAACCCAAATCTACAACTCCATCAACCCAAACCCTTCAAAATGCGGGTCGTTGTTATCGGTGGTTCTGGACGATGCGGCAAGCTCGTCATGGAAGAGCTCCTGAACAGAGGTAGGCTTTGCTTCCCCATCCTTCTCAATTGTCGCTAACTCTGCCAGGGCACCAAGTCACCGTTCTAGCCAGAAATCCTGCGTCCATGGGTGATGCCCGACCCGGCCTGAAGATCGTCAAAGGTAAGCTAAGCTAAGCTAAGCTAAGCATTTCTCACATAACTATGGTGACGATCTTGACTAATTCTAATTCCGCAGGCACTCCAACCAATTTCGACGACGTGTTAGCCGCATTCCAGGCTGATGTCCCCGCTGTCGTGATCGTGACCCTGAATGCGCCGGGCCACCGACAGCCCCTTTGCGGCCCCCATCTCTCCGCCCCGCCTCATGGCGGACTGCAACGTCAACGTTATCAAGGCCATGAAACAATTCGGTGTCCGCAAGACGGTCATCCTGCAAGCCTTTGGCGTCGGCGAGTCCTGGGGCAACATGCACTGCGTGCTGCGCCTGCTTATGAGCGAGTCCAACATGTGCCATCAGTACGAGGACCACAATCACACTACCGCGAGGTGCGCGAGAGCGGCGTCGACTTTGTCAAGGTCCGCCCCTCGCGTCTGGTCGAGACGGACCAAACGGAGGTCAAGGTCTGGCCTAACGACGGCAAGGGGGTTTGTCTGATGGCCAGCACGAGCCGCATCAGTGTCGCCCGCTGGCTCGTCGAGGCGGCAGAGACCACCAAATGGGACAACACGGCCCCAGTGATCTCAAACTAGACGACGGGCCAAAGGCGGAGTTACGGGGTTTGACCTTGCTGGGTATTCTTGGGATGGGCTTGCTTTGCTTTTCCCCCTTGTTTCACTGCTGTATATGACTATATCCATTAGGCAAATGGCTCCTTGTATTCAATCGTAACGATGTTTTTGATCCTTTATGCCGATCGTTCGATCTTGACAAAGGTACCCGGCGCATCGCCGTATCTGGCCCCCACCGTATGAGCTTAGCGTCTCCAACACGCCGTTTAATAAAATTATAAACCTATATTTCGCCGACCGAAAGAACCGGGGTGGTTCCGCGCTTTTCGAGGAGAAGGTTCGCCATTTCTCGTACAGTGGAGGGCCGGGGAGCTGATCCGCGAGAATCCATAGAGAGTATCTATTTCTAAAGAGATTCCTCTTCGGTTTCTGTCAATCTATACGAATTAGCACGAGAAATCGCGCGGTTTTGAACACCGCGGAGGCGGCGGCGTAATATAGCCTCGGCCACATTAAAACGGCGCGCCACTTCACGAATTGAAGGGATTTCTTGATTATCAAAAGCCTAGATAGCTTATAATATCCTACCCTCCTGCTCTGTTAAATCTTTAGAGGATCGGGAGCGAATTGGTGGCATGGCGGGTGATTGAAGAAGAAGGGTTTAAATTAATTGACGCGTTTTGGGTTGGGTGCGTCACTCGCTTACCGAATATGTTAAAGGGGGTTTTGAACCCTGAGCGCTATACGTCTTCGTACACGTCTCCCCCGCAGAGCTCATGGACGGGACCCAAACTTGTAAGCGCCCACGGCCGGTCGTGTCGTGTCCGCGCTGTCGAGAGAAGAAGCTCAAATGCGATCGCATTATGCCGTGTGAGAAATGCATCAAGTCTGGCTGTCCGTCCGAGTGCATGTACAACCAGAGCCCGGCCAGTCTGGACGCCCTGCCCAAGGCCAAGCATGTGCAACTCGGCTCTGAGGCGGTCGACCAGCATCCGGACCATCGAGTCGAGCCTGGAGGGAACGCAGGAATTGGCATTATAGAGGATCTCCAGCTCGGGCTGGGCAAGTTGGAGGAGTTTCTTTCTGTCACGTCACCGGCGAATCTGGGTTTCTTGAGAGATGTCTCGATTCGGGGCTCTAGGTATATTCGAGACGCTGGGTATCTCCCTTCCGCACAGCGCTAACAGTGCACAGTAGCCCACAATCAAGCGACATCACCCAACCAGCGAGTTCGCTGCCGTTCTTGGGAATTCTAGTTGTCAAAGGCACTCGAACGAGATACCGCGGCCAGAACAACAGAATCACCCCTTTGAACCAGGTGAGTCGGTCTTGCCGCTCGCCCTCTGATTGCTCTACTGACATGCCCAGTTCTCCGAAGCAAGAGAGTTCATCGATCAGTGCGCCAAAGATCCTACCGTTGCAGGATTGGCCAAAGAAGTACAGTTTCTCCAAAGTCAATCCAAGCTGTCGCCGAATTCGCCAGAGTCAATATCAGATCTGGAAAGTTGCCCAGAGTTGCAGCAGCTTCGCGCTTACCTGGCCGAGCCGACTTTGCGCATATGGTATGTCGAAGTCCTCAACGCCTTCGATTTACTTGCTAACTTGCCACAGCTTCAATCCATTCAGCTCATTTTCCCATCCACCGACCCGCAATTTACACCCACCTCTCAGCCTCAACTACCCGATTTCCTCGTCGAGTCCTCCGCCCTGGCTACCGAATTTAATAATTTCCAGGGTGATCCGTTTACATTTGAAGATGGATCATTCGCGTGGGACATATAACATCTATCTTTCTACGAGTTGGATTGATATGGCACATTGATGTTCGGCTTGGCCTGGCCGAGTACGTCCGTGCTTAATACAGCATTGAATGGCATTAAAAGCCACTTTTCAGAAATTGGTTTGCTATTATATCTGGCAGGATCAGTTATGTGTACATAGAGAGACAATAAGAGATATCATTGCATGCCAATAGACCTTATAACCTACAGTTGCATATTGACGAAGCCTGTGCTGTACTATAATGTCTAAATAGGTATAAACCACTTATTAAGCTTATATATGGCCAATACGTCCATATTCGATGCCAATGCCCGAGAGGCTGTGCCGGAGGTGTATACCCTCGGATCCGAACACCTCGGATCCGGACTCTCCGGCCCCAGCTCGCCTCATCGGAAATGCATACAGACAGAATTTGCAGACTTGATGGCCCCTGGGGGCGACGCAGGAAATCAATAATGACGATGGAGGTATCATATGGATACATGGTGTATAAGTGTCCAGAGTCCCGTCGTGATTCAACCCATAATCACCATCACAAGCATCACAATCAAACGCAATCACAGGCACAATGTCGCTCATCTCGAGCATCCAAGCAATCTTGACGGGCAACTTCCTTTCAAGAAAGCCAAACCAGTCCGCATTGAGAATGCCGCCATCATCGGAGCCGGCCTTTCGGGTCTGACTCTCGCCCTCGCCCTTCACCAGCAGTCGGTCCCGTGCACCATCTACGAGGCCCGCTCCGCTCCGCTGAACATTGGAGGAGCCATCATGCTCTCCCCCAATGCGCTGCGCATCCTCAACCTGCTTGGCGTGTACGAGTGCATCCGCTACGAGGGCTACGAATTTGACAAGCTCTACTTCCGCTCGCCAGCCGACCAGCCCTTTGACGAGTACGAGTTTGGCGGCGAGGGAAAGTACTCATACCGGGGCACGCACATCTACCGACACGTGTTCATCCGCGAGCTCTCCGCCATTATTGCTGAGGCCAACATCCCCGTCCACTACGACAAGAAGTTTATCCGCGTCGTGTCCGAGACTGAGACCGATGTCACCTGGGAGTTCGAGGACGGCACCACAACCGCCGCCTCCTGTCTCGTCGGCACGGACGGCATCCATTCTAAGGTCCGCAAGTACCTGTACCCTGAGCTCGAGCCGAAATTCATCAATGCCATGGGTGTGACGGCTGCGGTGCCCACAAAGCAGCTGCACGTGCCTGAGGGATATGACGTGCCTGCGATAATCATGAACAGGCAGCACGGAGCGTTCGTCATTGCGCCCCAGCAACAGGATGGCTCAGAGGTGCTGATCGGTCGTCAGAAGTGGGCGCCCGAGCTGGACCGTGAGGGATGGAACCAGCTGATGAACGACAAGGAGTGGTGCATCGACTTTTTACGCCAGGGTATTTGGCATCGTTAATAGCTCGAATCCTAAAATCTTTCTTCCATTCTTTGTTTCAAGAGGCAGACACCGGTGTCTTCTCATTTCGCAACGCACACTCCTCTCGTTGCCTGCTTTGCGCCGCAAGCTTTTTGACGCCCTGACCCCATATCCCATAAGTGAACAAAAAGAGCGATAAAGCAGACATTGTGTTCCAGCGGTAATAACGACACGAATCTGCATCACAGTATTGACAACAAACGAAAGTAAATAGAAAGAAAGATGCGAAAATACAAAGCGTGAACCTCCACGGCGCGGGTTAGCAGCTAGCACCTAAAGGTTAGAAAAGGGGCATACAAGATTGGATGTCTGTAGAACCCAAGGGGTTCCAATATGCGCCCTAGAGGGTGGTCTGATGTATGTTTTTTTTGAGCTAATCCGGGACAGGGACCGGAAGGGGTTTTCGCTTCCATGTTGAATTCCTGAAAATTGCGAGAGGAGAGAAAAGGAGAGTTGAAAGATACAGAGTAGAAAGGGCAGAGTCGGCGGAGTTTAGGTGACGTTGGTCCCCCAATTTCTTAGCGTGTTACTGTGCATAGGAGAGTGAGTACCGTCCGAACCCAGAGTCGCCAAAATGTCTCAAGAGTAATTCTCGTCGGCCCGGCGGCCTTGGCAATGCTTTAGCAAACTCTCCAGCCAACTTTGGAGGTCAATTTCTATCTGAGCTCCACTTAATTCGCCAAGCCTGCAATCCATAGGCGAAGGAATCGGCGGGCCATGTGAACGGTGGATACGTATAGGGTCCATTTGTGTGGTTTTCATGAAAACTGAAAATTAGGACTTGCGGCCTTTCGCCGAGGATGTACCCACTAGAGCCCATAGAACTTGCTTTGGTATCTATCGACAAGGCTTCCGACTTTCCTTTCTCTCGCTCTATCTTATGTGGCCTATGCCGCGCCCAGTGGCAAGGGAACTTATGCCTCCAACCAAAGTGCTCACTCTGCGGGTGTTGCTCAAGCTGAACTTGAGAAGAGAGTGACTGTTGCACAATGCATATCTGTAGCAAAGGCAATCTGGGCCCGTTCATCCCTCGAAGTGGCGTATGTATTGACACTCCTCAATTTTGTTAATCTCCAGCTCCATGTACATCAATTTTGACTCCTTCTTTCTGAATCTTAGGAATGTTTTCGTCACCAAGGCATCGGATTACGCCAAGGGGGCCCGTGAGAGGCACGAGCATAAACAGCGCGCAGTTTGGGCCGAAGACGTCAAACAGGGCTTCCAGTGGATCTTCGGTGTAGGCTATATCTACAAGCTAGGATCTGTCGTTGTCGGCGCTACCAACGCATTCATGAGTAGTCGTCGCTCGCTAGCGATGATGCTCCTTCAAATATTGAGGATATGCTCAACCTGAGTTGCTATACTTATGATTCTGTTGAGATCGTCACTCTTCCTAGCGACGGAATCATGACAAGAGACAATGAGCCAGCCCTGATGTCGCGCCATATGCTCAAGAATGTTAGACATAGGCAGAGCAAGAAAGCTCATGATTATACGATTCATCACTTCGCGGACGGAACTGCATTTCCACATTCCGTTTGCTGACTCTGGAAACGCGACTTCTTCCAAGGCCAAGCGACATAATGGGGCGAGAGTCAAGATCACTTTCAAGCATCAAAACTTTCTCTTGTATCCGGCAGCGATAGCAGAGGTGCATCTACAGCTCTTGCAAGCAGATGGCAGCAATATGCGGAGGCTGGGCACGCTGATGTGTTTGGATTTGTCGAGCAAAGCAACAAGGCCCTCTTCTACTACCGCACCGTTGTCGAGGGCAATGGCTTTGGAGGAAACTATGAGCCTACGGACGCCTGCGGTGACATGAGTCATTTAGTTTCAACCTACTTGGGACCCGGCGAGTAATTGCCGAAACTTTTGGAAATCTTGGAGGACGGGAACTTGGAATCTAGTTGAATTTAGTGCAATAAAGCTATAACAACAACATTTGCACAATCTTGTTGCCTCCTTCAGAACAAGCAGTCCGTAGGGAATGGCCTTAGTCTCCACTGTGAGCATTGACATCGGCTCCCCGCTCTAACAAAGCTTGCGCAATCTTGTAGGGTCCTTCAGTACAAGCAGCCTCCAGGGCATTGCTATAATATCCACTCTAGGCGTTGGCGTCGGTTCCCCGCTGTAACAACATTTGCACAATAATATCGTGTCCTTCGGAACAAGCAGCGTATAGGGCATTGCCGTATAAGCCACCCTGAACATTGAACTCCGCGGCCGCCCTCTAGTAGCATTTGCATAATATTCTTGTGTCCTTTAGAAAAAGTTTGTAAAGCGTTGCCGTAGCCCTTACCCCGAACATTGAATAGTTGTTTTAGCCTCAGCGTGGAGTCGTGGTATGAATACATACAAACACAGATACACTATATATACACACGATAACTACAAGCTAGATCCAAGAAGACAGCCAAGAATCTAGGAAGAAGCAGCATACAATATCACGCCTTCCCTCTCATGTCCTGATACCGTCCGATACGCATACATCCGTGCGTGAGAAGACCACTCGTCCGTCTTCACTCACCCGGATACCACTCGCCTCGGTCGTCGAAGTCGAGAACAGGAGACGCAGACAACATCCTATTTGGCTTATTGTTGTTTTTAAAAAAGCCAACGAAAATTCGAGTTTATTGTGTATACCGACCTGAAGCTATGATAGACCGTTATCCTAGCAGTGAGTGTCCTGGTCCACTGGCTTGTATAGTCTGAAAACAAACACACAAGAAACGAAAGAC